TTTTCTTACGACTGAGTAATATCCCATTGTATACATGTACCACATCTTCTTTAACTAATCGTCTATCTAAGGTCACTTCAGTTGTTTCCATATCTTGGACAGTGAATAATGCTGCAATGAACATCAGGGTGCATACAGCTCTATGCATAAATGTTTTCAAATTTTTTAGGTAGATACCCAGAAGAGAGATTGCTAGGTAATATGGTAATTCTATTCCTAATTTTTGGAGGAACCTCCATACTGTTTGCCATAGTGGCTGCACCAGTTTACATTCCCACCAGCAGTATATGAGGGTTCCTTTTTCCCCACAACCTCTCCAACACTTGTTATTACTTGTCCTGTTGATGACAGCCATTCTAACAGATGTGAGGTGGTATCTCATTGGTTATGATTTGCATTTCCCTAATAGCTAGTGATGTTGAACACCTTTTCATATGTCTGTTGGCCATTTGTATGTCTTTTTGGGAGAAGTGTCTGTTCAGGTTCTCTGCTCATTTTTTAATTGGATTGTTGTTTTTTTGTTGTTGTTGTCAAGTTTTATGAGTTCTTTATATAGTTTGGATATTAGCTCCTTAGCAGAGGTGTTGTTTGTAAATATTTTCTCCCAATCAACAGTTGCCTCTTTTTATTGTTTCTTGTCAATAACAACAAAAAATTCTTTTGTTATTTCTTTGCAGAAGCTTTTCAGTTCATATGATTTCAATCTTTTTAAATATATTAAAATTTGTTTAATGGTCCAGAATATGGCCTTTCTTGGTGAATGTTCCCGATGCTCTTGAAAACACTATGCTTTCTGCTATTGTTAGGTGGAAAGTTTATGTCAACTAGGTCACATTGGTTGATAGTGTGTTTCAAGTCTTTTAGACATCAAAGGTTTCATTTATCTTCCTCTTGTAATCCCTCTGCATTTTATGACAAAATATTCAGCACCAAGCCACAAGCAATAACTGAATTATCTGAGCTTAACCCAATATCTTTCCACTAAAGATAAATGCATGACTTCTTCACCACCACATAAACACCGCATGTTCATAGAACCTATATATCTACTCTCAGAAAAGTGAAGTTTTTTTTGTTTTTGTTTTTGTTTTTGTTTTGGTAAGATAAAAGTATTCCAGGTGGCCTTATTTAAAAAAAAAATAAGTAAATAAAAAATTCAGGAATTTATGTTTTCTAAAACAAAACAAAACAAGATGAAGAACAAATAAAAAAATGTTGCTATTTAGTCCACATTCACCTTGAAAAAGAAAATAGAGAATCCCCTCTCCAAAATTGCAAGTTAAGCAGTCTTCAACAATCTTATCAAAGTAGACTCATTTCATATCTAGGTTCATGTTCTGGCAAAGGTCATTTCAGACACTTAATAGTTTCAGGCAAAGTTAGATACATAGGGAAATTGAAAGATGCAGCTATTATGTTTTCAGCTTCAAAGTGAGAGGCAACTTTCCATGAAATAAACATGTATTTGGAAGTAACCTCCATGTAGCTGAGTGGTTAATTCAGCCATTAAAATTCTCTTCCTTGGGTAAGGGGATCCACTTTTGAAGATAGTGATAATTTTTGAATTGTGAATACAGCTTCTTTCTTGAAAAAAATGTTTCTCATATTTTTGACAAATGTAGACATTTACAATAATATTAACTACTGTAGCCAGTTCTCTTTTGATGTTTCATATTTCCTCAAGTTCAAACTAAAATATCACAAACATCTTTAGCTTTTTTCCCATTTATCTCTGACATAAATAGTAATTCTTCTTTGTCTTAACACAGACTGACATTTTTTTTCCAGTAATGCATTGTTAATTTTTAATTTAGTTTAGGTGGTTGTGTAGCCAAGATTTATCTATCCTTGTTACTTTAGTTTATTCCTATCTCAATTTACACAGTAAATACTGTATATGTCATTTTATTGACCTCTTAAATCCATCCTCTACATTGCAGATATAGTTATCTTTCTAAAATAAAAACATTATAACTCATCCCCCATGAAAAACTATTCTGTGTGTCAAAAACATACAACAAAATATCCCCAAAGCAAGAAAGGAGTGAACTGTGCCATCAGCATATTTGTTTACAGCTTGAAGGAAAAATTCCCTGATAATGCTTAAAATCAGAATTTCTGTTCTTTTAGGTCTTCGTTTGACATAGTTTTAAGCTTTCATGTTAGTTGTTGGGGAGCGAAACATGTTAGTTCAATTTTAGACAAAATTATATCTCTATTATTTGCTTCAGTTATTTATTATTGTCTTCTGATTTAATGTTTGCATACCTGGCATCCCAGATCATCCTTCTACAGACTTTCTGAGTTAAAAAAAAAAGTACTTGTCCATGATGCTTTTATAAAACTGAAATAAAAATATAATCACTCTTATTTTATGAGTATTCTGTTCTGTTTACCAACTTTACCACTCTTCCAAGTCTATATCATCCCTGAAACTTGCACTGTTCTTTAATTTTTCATCAACTTGCTGATTTACATTAATAAATTTTGACACATGCTTGACATATAGTTTTCTAATAAAATTTTACACATGGCCTGTGAGATCACATCCAAATAATGCAACATGATATGCAAAGGCCTCTATGTTCTACTCTTATAAAAGGCTATGTCTCCATCCTCATATTCTGTGTCTGTGCTTCTCAATCTACCTGAGGTGAAAGACTAATTTTCCCCCAAAATTTATTACATACCAATAATTTTGAAAAATACAATGAAATAAATTATTTCAAGAAGCAAAATAAAAAAGAACCACACAAGACCTTTTCTTGTTACACTATTCAATTAAAATATATAAAATTGCTCTGTTTAATTGTTGTAAAAGTTTTTAAACATTTACTTTCAATTATTACATATCTCATCAGAGACAAATGTAACAAATGTTTCCTAAGTTTTGTCCTGTTGTTTGGCCACACTTTGAATGGAATAGCTCTATGCTTTAGATATCTTCAAATGCTGAGAGTCCCTACAGCATTCAAAACTGAAATATTGTCTATCTCTGTGCCTTACTTCCTGAATTTGGATTTCCTCCATGAGTGGGCCTGATGTACTTACTATCTTTCAACTCTCATTTTAAATAAAATATCTAAAGCCTTTTTTTGTAATCCAACAGGAAAAACAGGCTACTTCTTCCTTTATGTCTTCAACCTAACCCACAAGACAAAGTACTTGCTTCTAACCAGCAATCACAGCATTATATTCCAATTATTTGTTCATATGACTATCTACACCATTGTATAGTAGTTCTCAGACTTTTGTAATTGCCCTCAAATAAGTGTCTTTAGCATAGATACATCTCAGTTCTAGACCTAAACCATGGTCTGTTAGATCTTTACATTCTGAATCTTAACCGGCATTTTAAATCAAACATTCAAAATCAAATTCTGTTTGTCTTCCAAATCTGTCTCTTTTATAGTCTTATCTATCTTAGCTAATTAAAATTATAAATGGAATTTCAGCCTCTCCAGACAAAAAACTGGACTCATTCCCGATTTCTTGTTTTTCTAACACAACAGATTAAAATCTATCATCAAGTTCTATTGGCCCTATTTCTAAAACACGCACAGTTTCAAGTCTCACTTACCACCTCCACCTCAAGTGCTATAGTTTACTACTATACTTATCTTCTTGAATTATTACAATAGGCTTGAAATTAGTCCTTCTACTTCCACCTTTGCTCTCCTCGCCAAGTCTAGTGTCACAGAAGCATAATATACAGTGGGGGAAAGAATTGACTTGGGACCAGAGAAGCTAACTTGAACCAGATTAGAAATTCAAGAATTATTATGACCAAAAAACAGAGTTGTAGAGAAAACTCCATTCAAATAAAAAACATTGGAAATACATTTGTACTACATACTTGTGCTAGAAACTGAAAGGTCCCTATCTGAGCCTCCTCCTTTTCATAGAGGTTACTTCCTGTGGCCTGTTACCATTTTATTATTTATTGTCCCAAACAGTTCATTAAAATTCCATCTTTCTCTCTAGTCTCTAATGGCCTGTCTCTAGATAGGCTGTCTGAACATATCATACAAAAGGTGTTGGACTCTCAATGGAGAAAGAGATGACACAAAACCTTGCTAATGGGTAAGAGTATAGTCTTGACAAATAATCAAGAAATCCTGTCTGTTAACTTGAAAATAAAAACTTCCACTAAGAAGTCTATACAGTCTGTTCAGTTATCTCATCCAAAGGAAAATGTTAATTGGACATCAGTACAAATTCTGATCTTAATAGCTTCCGGCTCTCCAACAGACTTAAATGTATCTTTATTAAAGTAATTAAATAATTTTAAAATGCATATAAAAATAAGGAGAAAATAAACTATAAATAATAATGATAATGAATCAAAATAATAATAACTAGAATCCAATCACACTTTTCTTTATTGTCTTAGCTCTGCCCATCAAAATGATCCCCAACCTCTATATTTTCTTCCTAATTGTTCAAAATATTAATTTCTCCACTGAATATGCACATCTACCAAGATGAACATGTACACAATCTCAGAGAAACTGGAATGCCATTTCAAATTCATCCTTGTTTTGACAGGAGATATCTCATATGTCATTATTTTTCTTTAAATATCTCCAAAGATGCACAAACGCCCAATCACTGTGAAGTCTGCAGAACTTTCCTACCTACTTAACCTCTGGTGAGAGACAAATGAAGAGAGAAAGCAGTTTAATAAGAACACAGAAAAATGATGCGGAGATGTCAAAGAAGGAATGAATTAAGACAACATCATTAATTTGACAAAAATTATTTTAGTCAACATTTATTGAGAAATATTATATTAAACAGAACCAGCTGCATAATTTGTGAGGCCATTCACTATCATGAAAATGCTACTACAAAATTAATTTGTTGTTCAAAAATTTTTAAGAGTTTTAAGATGTATACAATGGCACAAGCTATGTGCCCTTGAAGCTGGTCCTGAATCTGGGTTAAATTTTTGATCAGGAACAAAAAAAAAAAAGAAAAAACACCCAAACAGCGCTTTCAAGAAATTGAGATTTAAAAAAAGAAGAAGAAGTAGAAGAAGAAGAGCAAAAACCTAAACTACTGTTTAGAGTAGGAAGAGATGACTGTATTTAGGAAGATCTGAAGAGAACATAAGCGATTTCAATTGAGCAATCCAGGGGAGAAATAAGTGTATGAAACGGAGTATGAAAGATTAATAGTGGGGAACATGTGGCCAAAGCAGAAGAGAGATTGCTGGAAGATGGGGTTGGGGGACAGATTTTCAAAGGAGTTAGAATCTCTTTACAGAATAAGCTATTTTAACAAAATCACGTTTTGCTTATTGGTATGCACCCTGTTTAAGAAGAAGCAGACAAGAATTTTATGTACAAGGTAAAACAAATGTCATCAGAGTTGGTTTAGGCTTGTTTTCCATTTCTTCAAGAATCTGCTTTTGAGCCATGATTTCTTTACCAAGCAGAGGTGATTTCCTGAATTCCTGGAGTCTTGGGTGTTGACTTCTGTGGAAAAGGCAGGGCTGGGTACATAAGGAGAGCAGATATTCTGATTTGAGCTGTAGGAAAAGAAGAGGATCTTCATATCAAAGAAGGGTGATCAGAGAGGAAGAGGAGAGAAAAAGTAGATAGAGAAAATAAAAATGAGTTGATAAGAAGTTGAAGAAACAGAATAAGAAAATTCTCACCTCCGTTTTTTAAACCATGAGCCAACCATGGCCAACATGACCCAGGTAACTATTACAGTCAAGCAGATCAATATCAGGAGGATGGAGTATCCATCTGTTTGGGGATAAATAAGAGTGTCAACCTATAAAGTACTCCCTATTCTACATTAGTTAATGCTTCTTCTCTCACAGAAGTGAAGTCTTTTAAGAGATTTTCTCTGTATTTTCTAGAGCCCTCATTTCAATTCCTCCTGAATCTATGTCCCTGATCTCCCCATCCCTCTCTCTTTCATCAAATCATTAAGTTCTTTCTTTTCTCTTTAGTACCTCTAATCCTCAGCTTCTGTTTTCTTGAAATTTAATTGCTGTCATTCTTCATCCTTTTTTATTTAGATTCTTCCACCTTTATTTTCTCATGCATAACATTCCTATCCATTTCTCCAGCTTCTCATTCATTAGCCCAAGGACAATGGGAAGACTATCCTTTCACAGCTGACCCCCGTTTTTTCTCACCCAAGTGGATGATTATATCATGGCCTTCTAGACTGCTGTGTTTCACTCGACAAGCCAAGCCAGCCACCTCTCCAGCTGCCACATCCAGGGTTACTCGGAGATACCATGTCCCATCAGCATTGGGCATGATGTCACCTTGTTGAGTGCTCCGCTGCTCCTGTTCACCCCGCATCCACATCACCCACACAGGTTTTGGGTGAAAGCCAGAGACGTGGCACACCAGCAGCAGATGACCAGGCTCAGGGCTGTGGCCTTTAGACACCCAAGCCTCTGGCTTCTCTAGTGAGAGAGGGGAAGATGGAGAGAAATGAAATTTATAGCAGCACTTTAGATCATAGCTTAGTGACTAAGGTATCTTGGCAGTTTGAATATTCTCTTCTTTCTCTTGTCTTGGAAACAGTTCTAAACATACACGTCTCACCCTCTAGTCTCTTATGTGTTTCAAAGTGATGATAAAGAGTAAAAAACTCAAATACAAGTGTTAAAGCACTAAGGATATGAGAAGAGAGAAAGTTGAGCTCACCTTGTCGTTCCAGTTCTGCCTTCCCTGCTTCAAGGAGATCTGACAGAAATCGAGGACAAGTGTCACTGAGAAGGATCTGCACAATTTCTTTAATAACTCTATAGTGATTGAGCACGTTACAGACATTCTGAGCCTGACTCCCTGCTCCTGAAGATGGCTTCCAGGAATTTCCTTGGAAACTCAAGAAATCAGATCCTTGATATGCCCCATTTAAGAAGCTTCCTGAGGCCTTCCCAGCATGCATTCTACAGCCAAATGATATCTGGATCTCAAAGGGATCTGGAGGTGGACAAGAAAAAGAGAATCAGTATGGAATGAATTATTTGGAGGGTAAGAAAAGAGTCTAGAAAAGGAAAGAGATTTAAGGGAAGAAAAAATTTCTGGAGAATCACATGGGAAACTAGAGTTGGGGTGGGAAAGAGGGAAGAAATTTGTGAAAAGAAAATGTGAAGATAACAAAGGTATTTTGAAACAATTAATATGAAGAGACTAGATGGGAAGACTGTCAAAAACATTAGAGACCAGTCAGGAAAAGCTCACTTGGGAGTAGTTAGGTACAGGCTAGTCCATGTGATCACCCAGGCCAGGGAGAAAGGTGAGTAGATCCTGGTTGGGAAAGGCTGAGTCTGAGGCTGGCGTTGGTCGGAAGAAGAGCAAAAGGAAACAACTATTCCGAGGAGCTAGAACATAAGGATATATTCAGGAGTGTGAAGAGTTATGTACATGTAAGTTCTTCAGTGTATATGGTAGGGAGGAAGTTAGAGTGAAAATGGTGGTGAAGCATAGAGCAGAGGAGAGAGAGTGAGCCACAAGATACAGGGAACAAGGTCAGAAAGTCTGGGTAATGATCAGAGCCCATACACCATCTTCCCCTTTGGGAAATGGTTGGAGATCTCTGACAAATGTCATCTTGGAAAAAGAAACTCACATTCAAACTGAAACTGACTGGCAAAGGCCTGCACCACCCGAGGGAAGGCATGCAAGTACAGCTGCAATAGTGCCTGGAGGTTCTTCAACTCTTCCTTGCTAAAGTTACCACGGGACCAGGGCCACAGAAATTGGATAGTGCCCAAAACACCATTCCAGCGATGAGTCTGCAGTTCACCCAGCCAGCCTGAACCCTGGGTGTGTGCCCAGCTGTGGTTGGCAAAGGAGGAGATCTGGATCAAATGGAAGGTTAGGGGCTCTTCTGTTGTTAGATGATGGGGTCTTAGAACCTGGAGATCTGAGAGATAGAAATGACAAGTGAGAAAGTATGAAAGGGTGGGAGAAGAGGGACCCACATAAGAGAAGAAAGATATAGATACAGTTTGCACATATGCCCATTTCACCTACCCATTGGGCCAACTTTCTCTCCCCAAAATCAGAGAGAGAAACTGAGACTGGGGGCAAGGATACTTTGCCTAGGGATACTAGCCTGGCATGCAGATTCCAAGCGTACCCAGCAGGAGCATTACTCGCTGCCCCCATGTCCTCCCTAGAACTTCTTCCCCCTCAGCTATTCCCAACCATGGGTATCTTTCCACCTTGGTTTTTCTCACTCACTGTGCTTGCCCCATGGAAGAGAAGTTCCTTGAAGAGCAGGGTCAGCAAGAGCAGCACTGAAGCTCTGTTAAGCAAAGAATTCTTCAGCAGAACAAGTTTCCCTCATAACTCAGATATCAGCTTCCCTACAAACCCTCTCACACTCTTATCTAACTTCCCTTGCCACACAAACAGACAAACCTCTCCCTCCACTCACTTCCCAGTCAGAGAAACCCTACTGCCTCCCTCAACCACAGGCCTCCCACAGGGTCTCTTTTCCCCTCCATCTCTCCCACTATCTGACTTTCAGATTTTCTTCCTGCTCCTGTCAGCCTCCTGACATCTCCTATTGCACTAAGAACTATAAAAAGAAGCCCTAGCTTTTGACAAAGTTGTAGTCTGTGGTCTGATTGGAAAATTTAGTACCTTTTGACCTTACAGAAATCAAGTCTACACTTGAGTTCTCAATGTCCTTTTCTGTAAAAAGAAGTGATGGAAGGTCCTCAGTGTTGCCCAGTGTCCTTTCCAGCACTCTTCTCTCTCCCTATCTATTTGTGTTCCTCTCTTCTTCCACTCTGCTTCCCAACCTTCCTTTCTTTGTCTTCTTGGTCTTCCCTGTATTTCTCTATTTTTCTCTGGAGCCTACTTTCACTCTTCTCATTGCCTTGTCTGTTCTCCCTGTCCCCTTAGACTCCCTTCTGTCTCTTAATTCTTCTCTTTACAAAATAATCATCAGAGACACTAGGTGCTTTGACTGTAGCTATTTAATTTTCATAATCCATAGGGAAAAGGAGCAGCAATGGCAATACAGATTATCAGATAATCTTAGAAAAATGCCTTTTTTCTCAGTTTCCATAGTCAGACCAATTGTCAATGTTAATGGGAATCCATGACTGAGCTTGACTTGGGAGTGGTGAGGTGATAGGCATATTTTCACTCTTGTTGTATGAGAGGGTCTATAAAGTAATCTCAGGGACTTTGAATCTCCAACCTACCCAAATGACTTGAATGTGTCTACAGGTCAGTGGGCAAGCTTCAGACTGTGTAAGAAGGGCAGTCAGGCAGACTTTCTTTTACAGTCCATGGCCTGGGAGCACTGGTGTCCCCTTGGTGGTGGCTCTTAGAGAACAGTTTCATTGAAGGCAGAGAAGTGACTCCAAGAGACTAGAGATTCATGGGAAAATTAATTATTGCATTGTGTCTTTATTTTTGTTCCTTTCATTGATGCTTGCTGTGGCAGCCTGAAGACAGTTGAGATACTATTCCTTTGTTTTGTTTTCATATAGGAATTCAGCTGACATTTACTCATAGCCCATCTAGTTCCAAAAGATTTGCCATATACTAAGATTTCAGAGAAAGAAATATTTGGAAAAAAAAAAAACCCTCTACTTTTATAATATAGAAGACTCAGAGAATAGTGTTCAGAGTTATTGAAGGTGTTTGATCTCAGTCTCATCCTGGTGTTGTTTCTAAATTCTAAGAATAAAGAAATATCTTACAAAGTTTAAAATAAAATAGTGGTTACTTACAAAGAAGAGAATGACACTGGCTTCAGATACCTCATGTTCGATACAGTGGAAAAATACTTCAGAATTTTGAAGTAACGAGATAATCCTATTTTTTTTATTCAAGCAAATTATCAAACCCCAATAAGTGAAAAATTAATCAATATTTGAATATTCAAAAACTCAAAGAATATGCCACATAACTCTCTTTATGAAACAAATTATATGAGTAAAATAAAAAATTAATCCGAATGAAGAACTCAAAACATGATGAAAAAAATTGTCTTAAAATTATTTTTATAAAGAAATGGGACTACATCAAACTAAAAAGTTTCTGTACAGCAAAAAAGAACCACCAACAAAGCAAAAAGGCAATCAACTGAATCGGAGAAAATATTTATAAACAACCCTTCAGCTAAAAGGTCTATATCTAAAATATGTGAAGAACTTATATGACTCAACAACAACAAAAATCCAATTTAAAAATTGGCAGAGGACCTGAACAGATACTTCTCCTAAGAAGACATACATATGACCAACAGACATGTGAAAAGATGCTCAATTTCACTAGCTCTAAGGGAAATGAAAATCAAAACCGCATCTGTTAGAAAGGCTATTATCAACAAGACAAGTAATAACAAGTGTTTGAGAGGTTATGGGGGAAAAAGAACCTTCATACACTGTTGGTGGGAATGTAAATTGGTACAACCACTATGGAAAATGGTATGGAGGTTTCTCAAAAAAGCTCAGATAATTCAGTTATTGCTTGTGGTTTGGTGCTGAATATTTTGTCACAAGATGCAGAGGGATTACAAGAGGAAGATAAAAGAAACCTTTGATGTCTAAAAGACTTGAAACACACTATCAACCAATGTGACCTAGTTGACATAAACTTTCCACCTAACAATAGCAGAAAGCATAGTGTTTTCAAGAGCATCGGGGACATTCACCAAGGAAGACCATATTCTGGACCATTAAACAAGTTTTAATATATTTAAAAGGATTGAAACCATATGAACTAAAAAGCTTCTGCACAGCAAAGAAATAACAAAAGAATTTTTTTGTTGTTGTTATTGACAAGAAACAAATAAACTAAAAAGAGGCAACCCTTGAGTAGGAGAAAATATTTGCAAACAATGCCTCTGCTAAGAAGCTAATATCCAAAATATTTAAAGAACTCATACAACTCAACAACAACAAAAATCAATCCAATTAAAAAATGAGCAGAGAACCTGAACAGACACTTCTCCCAAAAAGACATACAAATAGCCAACAGACATATGAAAAGGTGTTCAACTTTACTAGCTATTAGGGAAACGCAAATCAAAACCACAATGAAATACCACCTCAAACCTGTTATATTCAGCACCAAACCACAAGCAATAACTGAATTATCTGAGCTTTTTTGAGAAACCTCCATACCATTTTCCATAGTGGCTGTACCAATTTACATTCCCACCAGCAATATATGAGGGTTCCTTTTTCCCCCATACCTCTCCAATATTTGTTATTACTTGTCTTGTTGATAATAGCCTTTCTAATGGTTGTCATTAACAAGACAAGTAATAACAAATATTGGAGAGGTAGGGAAAAAGGAACCCTCATATATTGCTGGTGGGAATGTAAACTGGTGCAGCCACAATACAAACAGTATGGAGATTCTTCTAAAAATTAGGAATAGAATTGCCATATTACTCAGCAATCTCTCTTCTGGGTATCTATTCAAAAATTTTGAAAACATTTATGTGTAAAACTATATACACCCTGATGTTCATTGCAGCATTAATTACAATGTTCAAGATATGGAAACAACTAAAGTGACCTTTGATAGATGATTGGTTAAAGAAGATGTGGCATGTATACAATGGAATATTAGTCATAAGAAAAGATGAAATACTTAATTTACTACAACATGGTTGGATGTTGAGATTATCATGCTAAGGAAAATGAGTCATACAGTAAAAGCTGAGAACCATACAATTTCACTTATATGTGAGATATAAACCTAAAAGCAACAACGAACATGACAAACATACAAGACAAACAAATAGAGACTTACGGACACAGACAACAGTTTAGTGGTTACCAGAGGGAAGGGGAAGGCGAGAGGTATGCAAGAGTAAAGGGGGTCAAATATACAGTGACAGAGGAGATTCAGCTTTGGGTTGTGAACATAGAATGAAATATACAGATGATGTATTATTGAGTTGTGCACTTGAAACTTATATAATTTTATCAACCAGTGTCACCCCCAATAAATTTAATAAAAAATAGATAAAATGCACATAAAGAAGAGGAGGTACATATATACAAGGGAATATTACTTAGCCATAATAAGAGATGAAATATTGTCATTTGGGACAACATGGATGTATCTTGAGATTATCATGCTAAATGAAATAAGTCAGACAGAAAAAAATTCAGAAACATGCGATTTAATTTATATGTGGGATATAAGGCTAAAAGTAACAAATGAACAAACCAAATGAAAACTCATAGACACAGTCAATAGTTTAGTGGTTACCAGAGGGAAAGGAAGGGGAGTTACATAAGAATAAAAAGGGTGAAATATATGGTGATGGAAGGAGATATGACTTTGGGTGGTGAACACATAATATAATAAAAATCATGTATTATAGAATTGTACACTTGAAACTTATATAATATATAAGTTTATATATAATATTGTAAACTTATATATAATATAGTTAACCAATCTCATCCTAATGAATTTAATTTTAAAATATTATTTTTGAATTATATAGCTAACTCCAAATAATTATTTTGAATGTACATGTAAAATTTAATGTCTTTGTTTAATGTTTCAGAAAAAAAGTTAATAATGATCAAAGAATTAAATTCCATTATACTTTACTAAAACCCAGAGAGGGAAACGAAAAGAAAGAAGAGAAATAAGGTTTATTTCAAATTCTATCTTATTGATCACAAGAGAACAATATAAAATAGTCAGTTAGAAAAATCACTTAAATTATGATGTTTATAGAAAACTTGATTAATTCAATGTGACAGAGAGCACAAGTACTTAGCCCATATCTCCAATGACACATTTTTTTTTAAATATGTTTTTAAAAAAGATGACTACATCTATATCATTCTAGAAAACATTGAAGGGATTCAATAGCTGAAGAGTAATCTTAAAGAAGTCTTTCAAGAAAAAAAAGTAAATGAAATACTTCAAAATACACAGCTCAAAATACATACAGAAAAAATAATACAAATGTAAGAGGATGTTTACACATACTGTAAACATCAGTGAAAACGAACAAAATATGATACTATTTAATTACAGAATTAGTTATTAACACTGGTTTTATTAAGTTTCAGGCTGCAAGAGCATTTTATCATATGATAGTAACACAAGAATTGCTCTCTTAGCACAGTGACATGTTTGTCTGGGAAAATATTCCAGCGTGAAAAAAGGCACTGTACATGAAAGATTAGAAGATCAAAATCTAAGGCAACAAGATCCCCAACTTCCTTTGTTCTTGCTAGAAACTAAAGGATCAATTGTATCATGTGCACAGAAAAGTGAAAGGGGGCATTCTAAGTAGTAGCCCCT